GGTTACCGTCACCACAGCTGGAGCTTAAAGTACACCCTGGACTCAAGAAAGCCAATACACCAGAGCATTTTACAAAACAACTTAGATCTCAAAGAGGTTAATCATAAAAAGTAAGCACAATTCGAGTCACTCATTAAGCAAGCCAAAGACCAAATCCAGTCCTCTACATTAACAACAATTTGGACTTCGAGTCAAATTGTTCTTCTGAACTGCAAACTGCTATCTAATTGAAAACATAAAAGTGTTTTAGATAAAGGCTTTCCTCCGGAAGCAGTTTTCTCCTGCTTCAGACTGGGTTTTCTGTCATTATGATTTCACGGCTGTGTGTGTTGATATCCACACTTTCCAAAAATCAATTTATCTGATCATGCCTCACATTTGTGAAAATGTCAAATCCTCTGTGCCACAGCACCAGGTACTGCAGTCTGTATGTTCATTGCCATTTAATAATGAGCAATACAATTTACATATTGTGCTTCACATTTGCTTGCTTCAAGGCCTTATGATACTCCTCCACAGTGTGGCATCTGAAGAACATGTCACATGTGTTGATCACCATTTTTCATTGAATTGAGTGGTTTAGTCAACTTTGTAACACCTATGCTGTCCCGGTCAAACATTACCAATATGAATGGCGTAACCCTAGATCAGATCACAACTACATTTTTCAAGGGCCAACATTTATCCAATAGACACTTTCGCGAGCCAGCAATTTTATCAAATAGCCAGAATTTTATGTAGTGACCCCCCGGAGGGCGGGCTAGTGGAGCACGCTCAGTACTGCGAGCGCATAAAGCTTTAGCGACTCTTCACGCTAATGAAGATCACTTCGAGTGCTACTGTCCGCAGCTCCTGACTCTTTGTTGGACTATCAGTCTGGCATCTGCCGAGCAACTGCTGGCGGTGAGCGCACAAGCAGACTCTCACAACAAAGGAACCTTCTTCTATCTTCAGGGCAGGCCGCAACTAGAGAAGAAGGTGCGACACGGAGTCCAAATGCCTTGACGTCACGTGGTTCAGGGAGACTCTAGTAGTTCCCCGGGTAAGTCGTGCGGCCATTTGGAATCACATTTGATGCATAATACCAGGATAGAATATGCAATTTGGTAATTAGTGGTCAATAAAGTTTGATTGGCAAGTTTTTAATAACCCCCCCCAATATATCATATGTGTATGTATGTTACATCAATTTTTTTTTTAAAGTAACATTGCTAATATTTGAGATTAAATAAAATAAAGTCTTATGATACAATTGGAATTGTTACGCTGCAGCGCAAAAGACAAGGCATCTGTACATTAGACAGTTTAAAAAGAACTATATCAACATCAAAACATGTAACATCTTAAATAGAAAATAAAAGCATTACCAAAAATTAGAAAAATATACATAGGTGAACGCTATCTTACCTTTAACATACATAACAGTACATGTTAGGCTAACGTGCCTTGGTTAAAGTAGCCTGTTGTATTCTTTGATATCTTTAAAACAAATATATATCTTCTTAAACCGTATGATAGTCAGGAGCATCACATCCTAATGTTTATTAGTATATTTAGAGGAGGGATGGCAAGGAAGGTTCAAATGGTCTCTGATTCATATGAGGCACTTTTCTTTCCAGTTGTCTTTAATGTCAATCTGTGGTGGGTTCTCGCTGATTCCTAAGTCCGCGCTACGGTAATGAGGACACAGAGGTAATCTAAGGCTACTTTAATGTAATCTT